AAAAAAAGAAAAATTCAATTCGATGATTTATTGTTTGATGATTAGAGTTATTTGGATAAAACAAAAGTAACATGTATTAAATGGTTACCTTCTCCTCAAACATATTTTATTGCATCTTATTCAAGTGGTTATTTATATGTATATGATGAACAATTAAATTATCAACGTGATACAAATATTCAATCAACATATTCAACAATAAAAGATGATGAAAAAAATTTTTCTATATCATATACAAAAGTTTGTTTTTTTTTGTTATTCGAAATAAATTTATATTATATTTTATAGAATAAATCAAAACAAACACGTAATCCAATATCACGTTGGTCAATTGGTAGTGGTAGTATAAATGAATTTGCTTTTTCACCTGATAATATTCTATTAGCTGTCGTATCACAAGATGGTTTTCTACGAATATTTAATTATGAAAAAATGGAATTAGTTGCTTATATGAAAAGTTATTTTGGTGGACTTCTCTGTGTTAGTTTTTATTTTTTATTTTTTTTTTGTCTTACAAAGATTCGCTAATTCATGTATAAAATAGAAATTAAGTTCATATGATTTATTCATAGGCATGTAGTTCGATGTATATTAATCAAAACAAAAAAAAGAAATTTAATCTCATGTCTTTATGAAAGAATTCTTCTAACGAATGACTTCCGTTATGAGTTCATACAGTGTGAATAAGAACATCTTTAAAAGGATTTGTCTTTCTTCTCGAGTTATACTCATTCTATTGAATTTTATGATATCTTGAAAGTTTTAGATGACGCGAACTTTTTTCTTCCGAGATAACATATATGAGAAAAAACCTATTACTTTCTCACAAAAGTTTTTAAGAAGTCTATTTTTAGCTATATGATATCTTAGAAAAAGAGAACATCCGTTTAAGCTGAAACTTTCAGGATATCGTGCGATCTATTATTAAGTGAAAATGAGTAAAATAGCTTCGACAATCCAAACGTTCAACTTCTCAGATTAAATGAGTATAGCTGTAAATGACTGAATACAACCGTAATATTAATAAGGAAATCGCTTGAACTAGGTTTGTCTCCGTGGTTGAATTAGGATCGTTTTATTGAATTTTTGACCCAGGTTTTACGCAGAAATCAAATAACAGTATTTTGCTCATAGGTAGATCTATAGAATATTTTGTAAGTTTTAGCTAAAAAGAATGTCTGTAGCAAACGAATATTGCTTAAATATTCTATATCTCGACAAAAGAACATTTTTTTTTCCCAACTGAAACTTTCAGAATATTCTCTACTATCTAATTATGGTCAAAGTATTATATAGAAATTCTGTTTTTACGATTTTTTGGTATTTATAAACTCCTCAGTAAAACGATCGTAGCTCGACTCCAAAGGCTCATGAAGATGAATTCTTTTGAGGCTTTTTCGAGTCTTATTGAGATCTCGTTGTTCTCCCACTCCAAAAACAAAAAAACCATAATTCTGAATTTTAAGATTTGAAAATAAAAACGTTTTTATTAATCTTTATCTTTTTATTTTCAATAGGTATGTTGGTCTCCCGATGGTAAATATATTGCAACAGGTGGTGAAGATGATTTTATAACATTATTTTCTCTTGATCCTGATGAACATACATCTCGTGTAATATGTCGTGGTCATGGTCATACATCATGGATAAATTCAATATCATTTGATTCATATATGAATGCTAAAACATATTATTCATCATTTATTCAACCATCATCATATAATGATAATGATAATGATGGAATAAAAAATTTAATTTCATATACACATAGTGATACATCATATTGTGATACAAATATTCCATCATTATTTTATCGTATTGGTTCAGTTGGACAAGATAATCGTTTATGTTTATGGGATATAACAGAAGATATACTTAAAATAAATTTAAATAGTAAACAAAATTCTTTAACATATCCATTAATATCATCATCATCATCACCATCATCATCAACAATAATATCAAATGGTTATACAATATTACCATCTGATATAATAACAAATACACAAACATCAACAATAAAATCTTCATTTTCATCTATAACATCTCGTCTTTCATTTGTACGTCATTCAAATAAAATAAATAAAACAATTGATGATACATCTGATTTAACATTAATAACACAATCAAATGGTTCATCAAAAAAATCACGAAAATTACCATTATTTTTAAATACATCAAGTGGAACAAAATCTTTATCATCAAAACTTACAACAACAACAACAACAACAACAACGACAACATCTGATGATACAAATCAAAATTCATTATCAACACAAATTAATAATAATAATTTATCATCACGTCAAACAAATTTTGATTTAACTAAAAGTACATTTGGTACGAATTTATGTCCAAAATTAGATGATATACAAGTTATTGAACCAATTATAACAGAATTTATATCACATGAACGTTTAAATGGAATTTATTTTGGTGAAAATTATTTAATTACATCATCACAAGATGGACTTATTACTATTTGGGAAAAACCACAAAAACTTTTAAATATTGATACTGTACGTAGAAGAAAATTTTACGAACAGAGATCGATTTGCAAGACCATGAGAAAAAAATTTACCGGGAACCCTTAGCACCTTTTGGTACTGGAAGTTAATAGTGATAGGAATGTACAGCTCACATTCGAGACAGCTATTGTAAGGACAAAACATATCGATGTTCGGATCAAATGAAAGAGGCACCTGGATGACCCCAGGACTGGCCGGAACAAGCCTGGCGAAATCTGATTGGTTGATAGCTTTTTCATATCGACCAATCAGATTGTGAGAAGCTGTTTCTCAGCTATTATAAAGACAAAACATAGGCTTGTCCGAGCCAACACTGGGATTACCCGGGGATCCTCTTGCATTTGATCCAAACATGGATATGCTGTGTCCTTACAATAGCTGTCTCGAATATGAGCTGTACACTTCTACCGCTACTAAGTTTCAATACCAAAAGGTACTGTGGCGAAAGGAACATTTCGAACCAACTTTTCATTACGACCTTCCGGCGGCGGAGTTCGTTACGATCTCCGAATATAAGGAAAAAAGACAGGATGTTCGTAATGAACGTTGTCCAGAACAAAAATCATTTCCGAACATTCGGACACATGACAAGAGTTCGAAATGACTTCGTGCGAAATGTCCGCCACCTAATACTGAGGGTTCCAAATCTACACTTTTTTCCTTGGTCAAAACTCTATAAGCACCACAGCATCCTTTAGAATAACTTGATGCATGGTGTCTGCATTTTTCCCGTGCTGTAAGTTCAGGAAAATGACTTTAACTCGAGAAGAAAGGTATAATGGCACGACTCCTTTCAGAATTTTTATCTTCACGATGAGTCCTAACGATGAACAAAATATGATCGCAAGAGAAAATTATTAGTTAAATGGATTTCATTGCCAGTATAATGGTAATAACTCGAAATAAGGGCACGAATCATTATGTCTAATGACAATAGATTTCATCTAATGACATCCGTCTGATATTAAATGTTTTTCCTTCGTGAATGAAAAGAAAGTCATATTTCTATTTAAAAGAAAATTTGTCTAACACAAATTTTGATGTATGGATTTATCTAAAGATAAATATGAAATATTTAAGATAAAATTTTTCTCATTATTCTAGACTGATGATCGAACAATGAGTTCAACAACATTAATTAACAGTAATTCTCATCATTCGACAGTTTCTCAACGATTATAATCCGCTGCTATAGACATTTCATTGAAATGTTTAATATTGTATATTATTTAAAGACTAATATATGTTCTTCTGTAAGAAATATTCTTTTTTTTTTTTTTTTTTTTTTTTCTAAATATCCCTCTATTCCTTTTATTAATAATAAGTATAAGAGGATAAGTAGCCAAAAAAAACAAAATATTCTTTATTACACACATACACACACACACGCAGATCCGGTGATTTTAGTCTTTTTTTTTTTTTTTTTTTTTCGAAATAATTTCCTCCGTTCGTTAATGTGTCTAAGTTTTTTTCTTTTTTGAAGAACACCTATGTATATATAAATATCTGTATGTGTGTGTATGAGATTTTAAAATTGCTTTATTCATTGTGCTGTGTATTGAACTACTGCTACTTTTTCTCTCAAATATAACCGTGTGCTCATTGTTGAAAACAAAATGAAGAAATTTTGACTTTAAGATAAAATAAATAAATAAATAAATATATATCTTATAAAATGTTTTTTTTCTTGTTAAAAAAAAAAGATAAATAAAAACCACAATGATGAAAAAAAATATTTTTCTATATTTGATTGATTAAACATGTTTGAGGAATAACATGGTTAGCTTATGTTATCTCACATGTGAAATCATATAATGATTATTTAATTAATCTTCTCTCTGAGTGGTTTTGTGATTGATAAGAATAAGTTAAATAGTGATTTTCTTTATTTTTTTTTTATAGATGAAATCAACAAAAATTATTTCACCATTACTTTCATGTCAAGCATTAAATGAACTTTTACAAGTACCACCAAAAAATATATCAATTCTTGAAACAGATATTGGAAAAAAATCTGAAAAAGAATATCAATCGTAAGTTTTAGAAGACATAATAGAAAAATTGAATTTCTTAGAAATTATTGAAATTTCAATTACTAATTATTGTGCTGTCTGAAAAAAAAAATATATATATTCAAGAAAAGTCTTTTTGTATATCTCATTAAAATAATAATTATTATTATTTAGTGCTCACATTCCACAAGCTCGTTTTTTCGATCAACTTGAATGTACACAACCAACAAAATTAATACCACGAGGTTTACCTGAAATTAAATGTTTTGAATCGTATCTTTCACGTTTGGGTGTATCAAATAATGATCATATTGTTCTTTATGATCGTTCACCAATGGGTTTTTATGCATCTAGTCGAGCTTGGTGGTTATTGAAAGTAATTTATTTATTTATTTATTTATATTTATTTTTTTTTCTATGATTCATTTTAGACATATGGAGTGAATAGTTTATCTATTCTTAATGGTGGTTTTTATAAATGGTTAAAAGAAATTAATAAAATGGAATCATCATCTGATAATAATGATTCCAAAAAAGAAGAAGTAGAAAACAAAAAAAAAGAAAAATATCAGTAAACAATAATATTTTTATTTAGACAGGAAAATTTACTGTTCATTTAAATAAACAATTATTAAAAAATTATAATGATATATTAAATATTATCTCAACAAATAGTAAAGAACCACAAATTGTTGATGCACGACCACCAAATCTATTTAATGGTTTAATAATTTTTTTTTTCCTGATTATAAAATTCTATTTTATTCTTTTGTTATTTCTAGGTTCAAATGCTGGACATATGCCTAATGCATTGAATCTTCCATATACAGATATATTTGATCAAACAGCTAGTGGTTTAAAATCAAACGATGAACTTAAAAAACGTAAACATTTTAATAAATTATCTATTTAGAATATATCAAAAGCAGTGGCGTACCGAGGGGGCCCGGCTCCCCCCCCCTTGGAGAAAAATTCCCTGTGGGGGAGTACGGGTAAAAAAAATTGTACCATAACTTTTATTACAAGTCCACTGCGGGCCCCCCCCCCCTTGAAAAATTTCTGCGTACGCCACTGATCAAAAGTATTTTAATCTTAGAGAAACATACTTGACCTTGAGGTGGGTCGGACTACGCTCGGGTCTAGTTTTGCTCCAATCGGATCACGAAAATCAAAAACTGTACTATTCAGAACATTCACAAATGTATTTCAATCATTGAAATTTCGAGAAAACTTTTGGAATGTTCTAGAATAATCTAAGTTTTATTGTTAATGCTTTTTTCCATTGTTTAAGAACTTCGAAAAATGATTCTGAAGTTTGTTGTTATGAAAATGTAGTTAATAATCGTTGGGTTCTCCCTTGATAGTCTCAGAATCTCTACTTACACTTCCTATATCTTTCTTCGAAAAACATAATGTGAGTTTCAGAAAAGAAAGAATAAGAACACAGAGGACAATATGTGATCTAATGTTACCACAGCTCGCCGAATACACCTCCTTGCCCATTCTATATTGTACCGTATTACGATCGTATATCTCCGAGATTAAATATTCTTTTTTTTTAGTTTTTAATAATGCCGGAGTTGATCTATCAAAACCATCAATTTATACTTGTCAAACAGGAACAACAGCAAGTACATTAGCTTTTGCTGCATATGTTCTCGGTCAAAAATCTTTATCAGTTTATAATGTAAGATAATATTTTTAATTTGTATATGAAATCTAAAATGCACATATAAATCTTATCATCAAGATTTATTGATGTTTAAGAAAATGATTTTATTTTCAAAAAAATGTGCAAAATTAAAAATGGTTAAATATTGAATTTTTTTATTTCTCTATTACTCAAAACCTAAGGGCTGGTTGACGTTTAGAATAAAGTCAAATGCAGCAGTATTGTTTTGAAACAAATTTGTTTTTATATTTTTAGGGTTCATTTACCGAATGGCAAGAACGTGCACCTCCAGAATTAATTATTCATGATCAAACAATGAAACCTGCTGCTTAGAAAATAGAAAAAGATAATTTTTTTTTTTAAATTTTATAACGGAAAAAAAAAGATAATATAAGCTATTATATTAGAATTTAGTTAAGATTATTTATTAAATTTGAGACTTCTTGTTTTCTTTTTTTCAGATGATTGTACCCGTCAGAACGGGTTATCCGTTATTAACGCGATGGCGACCACTTTTAATACATTCATCAATACGTAATATGATTACTGGTCGTTCACGGTCGGAAACACCACAAGGTGTACCTGATGGTTTGTTTAAATGAAAATTTTTGTTTTTTGATTTTTTTGTTTTGTTATTAAATTTATAGATTGGGGTACATTAAAACCACTTGATAAAGATCCAGAGTCAAAACCTATAAAACGTGATGACAAACGTGTTGGTGCACCTGATGAAGTTAAAGGAAAAGAAATGGAAATTTTATGGCCAACAGATCGTGAAATACAAGAAGGAGAATTTTCGAAACCACAATGGGAACGAAAACAAATCAATGTAAGATTCGTTTTTTTTTTTCGTAGAAAGAAAAAAAGGAGTAGATACAGGATATTCTTATTTTAATGAAATATTTTACTCTGACGAATAGAACACTTCAGGTGAGTTTCGGATTTGCTGAGCTCTACTGACAAAGAACCCTTTCCAAGTACTAAAAAGCGTTTAACCTCATTTTGCGTACAATAATTACGGGATCGCTAGACTATGAAAGCCTTGAGAGGATGTGAGCGCTAATTAGCTGAGAGATCGAACATTTTGCACAAACATAGATCTGAGATTTATGTTTATGGAAAGTTTTTTTTTAGTCAAAATTTGAAAGAAAATATGAACCTGCGGTTTTCACTGTTGGAAAGAGGAAATGAAGACGTATCGAATTATATATATATTACAAACTTTTTCGGCTGTTTATAATTGAGGTTTTGGCAAACCAATATACCGCGCTCAGTCACCACAGGAAATTTTCGATTGTTAGTAGTACATCACAACCACCAATCGAAGATCTACAAAACTACGCAAGGATCAGACTTTTAACTTGTAACGTTCAGGAGTTAAAGGCATTTTCCTGTGGGCTTCTATCGTTTTTTAGCATGTGAGAAATTTTCTTCGTGAGTATGATAACCGCTCCGAAGACAATTCTGATAATGATTTTATAATAATAAAGTTATAATTGACTATAACTCGTTGGATTGGTTTCGGAACCAACCCTGAAGAGCTCTAAATGAAAATGCATAATTTTGTACTGTATAAAAAAAAAAACGAAAAACTTAATATTCGTTATAATTTCAGCATATTTGGTATGGTTATGATTTCAATGATAAATTTCGAGATGAAGCAAAAATGAAACAACGTATGTTTTCACTTGTTTCTCTTGGAATATTTGTATTTTGGTTTATGTGGCGATATTTTCCTGATCGATTGTAAGATTTTAATATTTGAAAAAAAAATTAATTTTCAATTTTAGATTAATTAATTGGTGTCAACGTGAAGCATATCTTCGTTTAGCTGCACGTGAAAGTCTTGGTCTACCAGGTGTTAGTCCATGGTATGTCGATCCGGCTAAAGTAGAACCATTTTTACCAAATGATGAAGAACTTGGCGATATGCCTATTGAAATTTAGAAAAGCGAAAATAAATATATATTAGATTATTAGTGACACTCTCTCGGTTTTTTTCTTTTTTGCATCCCTGTTTTTCGATCTTGCTTGCTCTATTTGTGTAAAAATAAGTCTTGACTTGTTTCATTTTTTTTTTTTTTCATACTAAATAAAAAAAACCAACAACAACAAATATAACCAAATGGATTACTCATCTTTAACATGTTTGATTTATTTGATTTCAATGAATGATATATTGAAAGTATATTTATGTATTTGAGAAGCAGAAATCGTGCTTAGTTTTCTTTTAATTTTAAATATTGAACTTTTTATTCAATTAAAATCAAATTTTCGTATGAATTATTGATTTAAAAAGGCTTTTCTAACAATTGTTATTACCTTTTTTTTGTTCATGTAAAATGTAAATGAAAATTATTATTTAAATTGTACATATCAAAAAACAGTGAAGAATAAAAAATAATATTATCTATTAGTAAATATCTTATAATTACAGTCTAATATTTTCTTTTTTGTTTTTGTGAATTAACTTTAATATTAATTGTATTTTAGACGAAATAATTAATCCTTTAAGGACAACTTTCTAACAAAGTTATAGCTAAAAAAAACAAATCGTCCGAAAATATCGTCCATGAACTAAATGAGGAAAGCATCTTTTCTTTCTTAAATAACAAAATTTGTTCTACATTGCCTAAAATATCGGCCGGCAGCTACAAATTTTAAACAAGTTCTCACCAATAGGCACATTTGCACTAGTAGTGTTATCAGATCAAACAAGGATATTGCATTGTTATATGATTTCACTATATCTCTCTCTCTCTCTCTTTCTTCACAGCTGACATGATAACACTTGACAAGACTAAATCATTCAGTCATTGTTTTCTCTATCTACTTATGTATATATATAGTCAGTTAACATATGTTTATTTTTTCTTTTCTTTCGATATTATTCGAGGAAAATCGAATCGATTCGTCAACTGTTTATCCAAGCTTGTTTTTGATTCCGATTGATCATATCTTTTTGAATCAAAAATAATATTATTTTATTTGTTTGGATAAAAAAAACAAAAATGTTGATGAATTCATTTGGTGCCTCTCGAAAACGACCATTTGGTTCAGATAAAGAAAACGTATGGTCATCTATGTTGGGAATAGCAGTGTAAGTAGAATTTTCTTTTCTT